AAAACTGATGGATATGAGGAAGTGATGAGTTGGTGGCTACTGAAAATGATTTCAGTGAGGGTCTTCAGAAAAAGAGCTAGGAGAAAATGATCTAGTTCTCAGAAAGTACAATGCTTGAATTCATGACTTTGAATAAGACATAGTTTCTAGAGATGACAAGTTCCAAGGTTTACCCTTGAGTTTGGATGGTGCATATGGATAGAAAGAAATGAAGAAGTTCAATCTGAACAGGCCAAAGAAACAACTCAGGGAGTGTTTTGCCTGAGGATGTTATAGTTACCATGAACTTATGCCAAAAGAAGAGAATGTTTTCTGTGCTTGTATCAAATTACCACAAACAAAGTAGCTTAAGGCAAGGCAAATATTCACACTTCGAGAGATCAGAAGCCTAAAATAAATATCAATAATACCTGGAGGAACACACTCTCTCCAGAGGTTCTAAATAAGAATCTGATCTTTGACTTTCTAACTCTTGGTGGTTCCTGGCACTCTTGGACTGGGAACACATCACCCCAGTTTCTGCTTCTATACTCACATTGCTTTCTCCTCTGCATACCTTCTCCTCTTCTGTCTATATCAAATCTTCCTCTATCTCATCCTTAACCTACACTTATGGTAGGTTGGCCCACCTGGATAAAATCTGGCCTACCAGATTTTAACTACTATATCTGCACACTGACATTTTCAAGCTCCGTGTCTTTGGCTGACCATTATTCAGCCTACTACAAAGGGAATAAATTGTGTGAAAATATTCAAAAGATGAGGAAAAGTTACTAAGAGAGTGGTAGATTGTGACCCTTAAGAAGGAGTGGAGCTGGGAAGTAGGGGTTCATACCTATCATTCTAGCTACTCAGAAGGTTACAACCTGGAAGTTTGGGGTGCTAATCCAGCCTGGTCAGAAAATCCTGTAAAACTATTCTCAGCAACATGCTGGATTAGTGGTATGGCTCAGTGGAGGGTTGCAGCCATCTATCTCCAAGAAAGCCAAATGAAAGCATGAGACCCGGAGTCCAAGTTCCAGTAATGGAAAAGGAGAAGTAAAAAGGAAGAAGAGGAGAAACAGGAAAAGGAGAAAGAGGAGGAGACAGCAAGTGGGAATATGGTTTTTTTTAATTGTGAAAATACTGTACAGAGGGGTTACAATTACTTGGGCAAGATAATGACTACATTTCTTATCAAGCATTGTAGCCTCAAGTGAACCATGAAATAAGATTGCCTGAAAGGAGGGACTGCAGCTTAATGGAGAATTTATGTGATGTAAATCTAATCCCAGCAAAGTGCTGGTGGCTCACACCTGTAATCCTAGCTACTCAAGAGGCTGAAATCTGAGGATCAAGGTTCAAAGCTAGCCTGGGCCAAAAAGTCTGTGAGACTCTTATCTTGAAAAAAAAACACCAGAAAACCAGAAGTGACGTTCTAAGTGGTAGAGCGCTAGCCTTAAGCTAAAGAGCCGAAGGACAGCACCCAGGCCCAGAGTTCAAGCCCCAAAACTGACAATAATAATACTACTAATAATAACTATTATTATTATTATACCTCAAAAATGAGTCATTCCTCAATCCTCTTTTTGTCTCTTTCTATTAGAGAGAGTGGAGTATCGCCTTCTCAGTCTCTTTTACAGAAGGTGACAATGATGTGACCTTGTCTAGCCAAGGAAACCTAAGAAGAATTCTGATGAGAGGACTTCTAGGTCAGCTTATGTTTTCCAGCTTACAGACAGAAGAGCTGCACAGATGCAGCTTATGCCCTCCTCACCCCATCCCACACACGCACACTTCATTCTTCCTTCCTTAAATAAAAGAAGCTGTGCTGGAACTGCCTAGTCCTTTTGCATAGGAATGATAACCACACTTTGAGTTTAGGGATGCATTAGGATGAAAGGACACTGAGTCCTTATTGATGTTAGTTTGTAACTTAGAGTTTATTGTTGTGTGGAATCAAAGAAAAAAAGAAATCCAGTTGTTAAGCCTGTTACTTCAAACTAGAGACATTTCTAGCTTATATGGATGGTATGTCTGTGAGAGAAAAGAGCAAGTACTACCTTTCTGTTTTATGGTCTTTGTGTCAGTCCTTTTTCTTTTTCTTTCTTTTTTTGTTCCTTTCTCTCTTTTGTTCTCTTCCTCTTTCCTTTCTTTTTCTGTCTTTCTGTCCTATCAGCCTTTCTGTCTGATTAACAGAAAGACAATGATGGAAGGAAGGAAGGAAGGAAGGACAAATGGGAAGGAGGGAGGAAAGAAAGAAAGGAAAGACAGAATGAGAAGGAAAGAAAGAAAAAGAAAAGGAAGGAAGGAAGGAAGGAAAGAAAAGAAAAAGGAAGAGAGACAGAGAAAGGCAAAGAGAAGGACCAAAGTTCAGAGATGGAAGTATGGAAGAAAAGAGAGGGATAGAAAAAAAACTAGCAGAAAAATAGGCAAATGTAAAGACAGACAGACAGGATGACAGACATACAGGAAGACAGACAGTGGGAAGGTGGCTTAGTGGTAGAGCACTTGCCTTGCATGCATGAGGCCCTGGGTTCGATTCCTCAGCACCACATAAGCAGAAAAAAAGCCGGAAGTGGCGCTGTGGCTCAAGTGGTAGAGCAGCTAGCCTTGAGGTGAAGAGCTGAGGGACAGCGCCCAGGCCCAGAGTTCAGGCCCACAACCTAACTCCAAAAAAAAAAAAAAAATACAGAAAGAAAAGAAGAAAGAGAAAAGCAGACAAAGGAAGAAAGACAAGGCAGAGAGAAGGACAGATGGACAAGAGAGACAGACAGAAGTCTAAAAGAAAAGAGAGGGAAAGAAAGACATACAAAGACATACAGAAAAGCTGACAAAAAATCTACAAAGATAGAAAGGCAGAGTGATTGATATATAAATAGTAAGACTAATAGGCAAACAGAATGACAGAAATGCAAAGACAGACAGACAGAGAGGCAAACAGACTTTCTGACCAAAGCTGGAATTGTTTCCTTAGTAGTATGTACAATATCATTTCTGCCCTTGGGAACATGCTAATCTGGTTGCGTAGGACAGAAAGTTACTATCACAAATGTAGAAAGGACATGATATGAAATATGTGAAGTGATTCTGGAATCTTCTTTACTATAATAGAGCCATTTGTGTTGAAGAAGGGAATGGCAATCAATAGCATATCTAAAGTATTTAAATAGGAATAAACTTAACTTTTAGAACAGTGTTTCCCAAATCCAGCACTGTATTAGAATAAACAGAGAAGCTTTAAAAATACCATTGCTTTAGCCACATCCCAAACCAATGATACTGGATTCTTTGGGCATGAGACCTGGGAATTGGTCATTTTTAAATCTTCCCTGATCATTGCAACATATAGCTTTAGAATGTATAACTCGAGAAGAAATATGCCAAAGCTGTGCTTCTCAAACTCAAATCAGATTTTTAAAAAACAGATTCTGATCAAGTGGGTATGAGGTAGGGCCAGAAATTCTGCATCCTAACAAGTTTCCATAGGGTGCTGATGTTGTGGCAACAGGGGGTGTACATGGAGCAGCAAGTCATTAAAAGTAGTAAGTAGGTTCCATATCACACAGTAAAAGTAGACATTAGACGTGGCATTTATTGAGCACACATTATCTCATATCTCATTTAATCTTATCACACAACCATAGAAGTCAGACACTGGTAGCTAATGCCTGAAACCCTAGCTACTCAAGAGGCTGAAATGAGGGGATTGAGATTCCAACTCAGCCCAGCCGAGAAAAAAGTCTGAGACACTCCATCTCCAAATATAACCAGCAAAAAGCCAGGCTGCAGGTATGGCTCAAGTGTTAACACCTGGACTGAAACATAACCATGTCTGACAGCAGAACTAATAGGTGAATTGAAATTTCTGGCAATTATCAACTGCAAAGCAAAAGTGTTTACATTTTCTGAAATGCTAAGCAATATATTTGTAGGGGCAAACTTCATGGAATCGCTTAAGGAAAACTCCAGTGCTTCCAATGGAATTCTATGCCTCCATCAGAAAGAATGACATTGCCCCATTTGTTAGGAAATGGAAAAACTTGGAAAAAATTATATTAAGTGAAGTAAGCCAGGCCCAAAGAAACGTAGGTCCCGTGGTTTCCCTTATTTGTAATATCTAGTATATGTATGAGTCAAGCGGAAAAGGTCAGATAATGTGATGTCAGGAAAATGAACCCTTAGATGTGTATTTTAATGTTTTTTTCTTTCATGCATGTGTTTCTAACACATTTATAAGATTATCTCTTTGTTGCTTTGTATGTCCCTCCCCCACAGTATAACCCTTGCTTTCACTATATTTGATGTCAGTATAACTTGTGGAGGAGATGGGGAAAAACCAGTTCTTTAAGGATACAGGTGGACCTGTTGCAACAATGAGAAGTACAAGTTGTCATGTCCAAAACGAGCTTTACAACGTTGGTGCCGGGGGGGGGGGGGGGGGGGGGGGGGGGGCTGGGGGGGAGAGGAAGGAGAAGGATTGGGATTAGGGGAGGAGGGGGGAGGCTGGGAAGGGATGTGAAGGGTAAACAAAGGAGGAGGCTGCAATGCTTGGTAAGAAATGTACACATTATCCTGCCCATGTAACTGTAACTCCTCTGTACAGTATGTTCACAAATAAAATTAAATTAAATTAAAAAAAAAAAAGAAATAAAATCTACTGCTCATCTGCAAAAAAAAAAAAAAAACTCCAGTGCTTCCAGACCCTGTTATTTCATATAGTATTATATCTAGGAAGACAGAGAACATGGTCCTTTGTATGCCTCCATACTGCACCAGTGCTCCAGGGTTACAGTGCTGGTGGAGGATGTCAAAAGTAAAACACGAACTTATTTTTTCATTGGTCATACCAAAGGATTGTTGATGGTGTTGAGAGAAATTGTATTTCCAAAAAAGAAAGAAAGAAATATATTTGGCAGTGATTCCTTGATTCAAATATTCTTTCAAAATGAAAAAAAAAACATTTCATAAATATAGATAGCTCTGCTCCTATTCATAAAGTGATTTTTTTCTCATTCCAGGAAGCTGAAAAATGAGCTCTTAGAAGCAAAACGTAGAAGTGGAAAGACTCAGCAGGAAACCAGCAGAGTCTGTGTTCACTGTCAAAGAAACCTGGGCCTAATCTTTGACCGGGGAGACCCATGTCAGTCCTGCTCCCTTAGGGTGTGCAATGAGTGTCGGGTAGTGGGACTGGATGGCAGCTGGAAGTGCACTGTCTGTGCCAAAGTCGCGTGAGTTTCGCCCTTTTTCCTGGAAAATTGTAATTGGATGATTGAAGGGATTGGAATGGGGGAAACAGGAAAGAATTTGTAAGAAATATTTAATTTTTTGTAATATTTAAAATGTAAGGATAGAGAGTAAAGTTAAAAGTATAATCTAACTATAGGCTTGGGTCTTGTGTGTGTGACAGGGAGAGGGGAGAGAGAGAGAGAGAGAGAGAGAGAGAGAGAGAGAGAGAGAGAGAGAGAGAGAGAGAGAGAGAGAAGAAAGAAGAAAGCTAAAATATTTCCTGAATTTCCTTCAAACCTACCTGTCTCTGAGAAAGGGCCAAGGGAGGGAGCCTTAGCTGAAGCGGGGCAGGGGTGTAAGGGGGGACGCAGGTGGGGGAGAAGTGGGGCATGGATTTCATTCTAGTAACTTGGGTATAGATCACAATCATTGTTTTCTAAGCATATTGTCTAGCATGTCATTCTCCTCCAGACATCCCAGTTTCCTCTTCTCAGGGGAGCTTGACATTGATCTTTTCCTGTGGTTGAAGTGGAGGGTGTTGAAATCAAGTTTGTTTGGTATCTCTTTTCCCTTCACTGTCTTCCTTTTGTTGGTGTTTAAAAGGTTATCTTGGGAAGAAAACTGAATAGTGTGATAGTAGGATTGACCTTCCTTTTCTGATTTATGTGAATGAAGAACACTGTTCTGTTGAAGGCGTCTGTATTTTGTGATTGCATTACTTAACCAGATAATTTTCCTGTATTGTTTCATAAAGGTGACCATGAACAGGACAATTCATACTATGTTTCAACACTGGATTGAATTAGCAGTTCAGAATAAATGGATTTTATTTATTTATTTATTTTAATATATATTTTTTATTGTAAAGATACTGTATAAAGGGGTTACAGTTACATAAGTAAGGCAATGAGTACACTTACTATTGAGCATTGTTACTCCTCCTTTGTTTTTCCCCTGCCATCCCTATTTATTTATTTTATTACTTACTTTGGCTATATCACTTTGATTTACGTAAGTGATTATCTTCAATTCTTGGTCCACATAAACGAATTTCATTTTAGTATCTCCCTCAGCCCCATTTGCAAACATCCTTGAATGGTGACAAAATCATTGACATATGAGGTTCATCATAACCTTTTACTGATTTGAAAGTTTTTTATTTATTTGAAATACAAGTCGTGTTGGTTACTTATGTTGCAAGTATCTTCTCTAACCTTCTGACTTGGCTTTTTCTCTTTTAATGGTGTCATTTGGTGAACAGAAATCTCTTTCAGTAGTTTAATTTATTTATATTTCCTATATCATTAATGGAATTTTTCCTTTATACTGTTAAGAACAGTGTGACACTTAAATCATAAAATAATCTCCTATGCAATCTGCACTTGTACTATTTAACTTTACATTTATAATCCACCTCAAATTGACTTCTGTATAGGAACTGATTTATGTGTTTTAAATGCAAGTTATGCAGTAGTTGTTTTAGTAGCTACTGTTTTTGGTTAATTATGTTGTTCAACGGTTTTATCTTTTTGTTCATTTTTTAAATTAAATATTCACTCAGATATTGAGAGATATGCTAAATTCTATCAAAAATAACTGGACTTTTAATTTATCCATTCAATTCTGATTACTTTTGCCCATATATTTAGATTTACTACATAGCCATCCTTTTTATGCTCTGTATACTTTGCTATACCTGTATGTTTCAATTTGGATATTTTTTCTTCCACTCTCAAGAGTACCCTTTAGCATTTTTTTTAATATTTTTATTATCTTTAAGTAGTTGTAGAAAGGAGTTGCCATCCAACAAAGCAGCTTATGAAAACAATGTGTGTTGATCAGTCACCCATTTCAATACTCAAGGGTCCCTTCTAACCTATCCCTTCCCTCACTTTTCTTAATTTTTAGGTTATGCAATGCTTTTTTGCCATTTAACAGAATAGTTTATGTATAAAATTCATCTTGATAGTATTTGCTTAGGTATAGTTCTACTAGTGATGAATACTCTATAAAGTTTTTTTCTCAGCCAGATGCCAGTGGCTCACGCCTGTAATCCTAGCTACTCAGGAGGCTGAGATTTGAGGATCACGGTTCAAAGCCAGCCCGGGCAGGAAAGGCTGTGAGACTCTTATCTCCAATAAACCACGAGAAAACCAGAAGTGGCGCTGTGGCTAAGTGGTAGAGCGCTTGCTTTGAGCTGAAGAGCTGAAGGACAGCACCCAGGCCCAGAGTTCAAGCCCCATGACCAACCAAAAATAAATAAATAAAGTTTTTTTCTTAATACAGTTATATTTTGTTCTTAGTTTTTAAACATTTTCATAGGTTATTGTATTCAGCATTTTAAAACTTAAATTTGTTTTAAATGATATCTAAAATCATAATAGATGGGGTACTATGTAAATGTTTCAAGGTATATATTTATTGTATAATGTTTAAATAATTTTAAACCTATCTACTTCCTCAAACACTTATTAGTTCCTTATAGTAAAAACCCTCAAAATCCTGTAACATTGAAAAATGTATAGTACATTATTGTTGTCTATACTGTATAACAATTCCCTAGCCCCTCTCTCTCCCTCTCCCTCCCTCTTTCCCTCTTTCCCTCTCTCCCTCTCTCTCCCTCTCTCTCTGTTTTTCCCTCTCTCCCTCTCTCTCCCTCTCTCTCATCTCTCTCTGTCTCTCTCCTCTCCCTCTCTCCCTCTCTCCTTTCTCTCCCTCTCCCTCCCTCTCTCTCCCTCTCCCTCCCTCTCCCTCCCCCTCCCTCCCCCTCCCCCTTCCTCTCCCTCTTCCTCCCTCCCTCTCTCTCTGTCTCTCTCTGTCTTTCTCTCTCTCTCTGCCTCCCAAGCATAAAAAATAAACTATAAAAAAAATTCCCCAGAGCTTCTTGTTCCTACCAAACTGTTACTAATCAACTGACTTCTTTTTTGCAGGGGGTGGGGGAACACGTCCATCATGACTTTGAACTCAGGATCTGGGGCACTATTCCTGAGCTTTTTCCCTCAAGACTAGCACTCTACCACTTTGAGCCACAGCACCACTTCCGGTTTACTGGTGGCTAATTGGAGATAAGAATCTCATGGGCTTTCCTGTCTGGGATGGCTTTGAACTGTGATCTTCAGATCTCAGCCTCCTGGGTAGCTAAGATTACAGGCATGAGCCACCAGCACCTGGCTTATCAACTGTCATTGATCAAATTTTCCCCCTCCCTCCTCCTCAGTACTCTCCCCAATCTCTATAACTACCATTCCACTCTCAACTGTGACTCTAGCCTTTTTTCAATACCACATAAGACAAATCATGCAGTACCTGTCTTTCTGTGACTGACTTATTTTACATTATGATCTCCAGTTTCTTCTATGTTGTGAATGACAGTATTTCATTCTCTTTATATCTAAATAGTATTCCATTATGTATAGGGACCCACACTTTCTGTACTCACTAACTTGTGTATACTTAGGTAGATTCCATTTATTGGCTGTTATGGATGTGCTGTAATGAACATGTGAATGTGCTGCAATGAGTTCAGAGATCTCTTTGATATGCTGATTTCATCTCCTTTGGATACATGCCTGGTAGGGGGATTTCTAGATCATGTGGTAGTTCTATTTTGAATATTATGGAGAACCTCTGTATTCTTTTACACAAATTTCACTGATGATACTAGGTGGAAAGTTATTAACTTTCAGTAGGTTGCAGATTCCATTTGCTTCTGCTTCCTAATATTTCTGTTATGCTAGCAGATAGCAGTGCAGTGTTACTTCTTCAATGGGTTTTTTGTTGTTGTTGTTTTTACTATTTCACCATTTTCTACTGGTTTTTTTTTTAACAGTTTCTATAGCATGCCTCAATCTGGTTTTCTTTGTATTTCTCCATCTTGATGTTCCTAAAACATCTTATATATGTGCCTTAATGTCTTTTGTCCTATGTGACAATTTCTTACAAAGTAGCTCTTCATTTCTTCTCCTCTATTATCTCCTTTACTCAGCTATCCCAAATATATGTTAGTCATATTCAATATCTTTTGTGTATCTCTTGTTCTCTGTTCTATATTTTCTATCTTTTTATATGTTTAACTTCAATTTGCATAAACATTTTTGCCTATCTTCAAGTCCATGAATCTGTCGTTGGATATGTCCAATTTGCTGTTAAATCCATCAATTTAATCCTTAAATTCAGTTGTTTGGTTTGCAGTTTTGGAATTTCCATGTTATGCTGCATCTCTGCTGATGTTCTCCTCATCCTTTTCTTACATTTTCCTCACTAAATTATTTACAATTATTCTTAAATAGAGGAATTTTGGTTCGTTATTTGAGTCCCTTTCAAACTGCTTGGATTTTTAGTTATTTCTCTTGTTTTTGCTCATGCTTTCTCCCCATAATCCTGATAGTTTTGACTGACTGTCAAAACTTATAAAAATAATAAATATCAGTTATACGTTAAAACATTTATCTATGGTGAATGTATTCATAATTACATTAATCAAGTCAGAAACTGAACAAATTTCAAAACGGGGGTCTCAATCCCCACAAGAGTTGATCTGTTTCTGCATAACATTTATTCCTAGGCAATAGTCCTTTAGGGTCTCATAGCATACTTATCAGGTAAGGAAGACAACTGGTTTTCCATTATATAGATAGTGGAAATAAAAACAGTAGGTGAATGTATATTCATAGAGCTGGGGTTGTATCTACCTTTTGTGTGTATTGCTAAAGGTCAAACCTAAGGCTTGAACATGCTAGGCAAGTGCTCTACCCCTGAGCTACATCTGTAGTCCTTGGTAATTTTGGAAAAGAGTCTTTCTATATTGAGCACACTGGCCTCAAACTCATGTTCCTCCTAAGTAATTAAATTGTAGGTGTGTACTACCATGCAAGATGCAATATCAAAGTTTGTTTTCTTCAGCTTTTTTCCACAAGACTATGTCAAGTTTATATTTGATGTTTTAGGATAAGAAGGAAGTGAAAAGAAACAACTGATGTTCCATTTGCATAGTCTCAGGTCT